TCAGATAAGATAACAGACAAATCTGTAGAGCAGGTCCATTCAGCCATTCCCAGTGACATTATCTAATCTGACTATTAATACACTGATATGTGGACAAGGCTCCAACAAGCAATCTTAGCAGCAAGATGACTCTACCTCTCATAAATGGTTATAAATTAACCAGCTATATCATGTATATAGTCATCTTTCCATTATAACACTGCCCTCACTACACATCATTACAATTATGAACACTGACACTTACAGATACATTGTAACTCCTGTCTCTCCTGTCCCACACACTACTGCAGTACAATACTTGGCTATTATTATTACTACATGTCATACATTGTTAGAATCACTCTGAACATAGGAAAATAACAACTGTATCACATGGTGTGGTGCTAATTTCTAGATAGACAGTAGTTCATATGAATAAACTTGTATCCCAGCCATGGCCTACATCGAGCATGCCTTGGTATAGTGCAAAGTCGTCTAGTTATATGATGGACTAGATAGACAGCATCCTTCCCATTTTGTCTAACCCACGTCTTCGAAAAAAAGGGCTGACAAATGATTGCTGCAGAGATGAAGGTATATTTTTAGGTGTCAAACTCAAATGATAACGTGTTCCCTGTAAGATCTGTAGCGTACGTGACAATCTGACACCGGTTATTGATGTCACGTATAAAGGTAAGTCTTGCATCCGTATCACCACCACATATATATCTGAGTATTGAGCAGCAATGGATAATAAGACCTGGTAAGAAACACGTAAATAACTATGCTTGAGACAAAAGAAGACAGATTACGCGTTGGAGACGCTACGGCAATCGAAATGAAGAACTTTTGGAGGGGAGGTGTCGGGGCGATCTCTTTCCGTGAATGACGTATTTTTTAACTTGAATAGTTTCTATCGACAATTGGCCAAAAAGGAACCTAAGTTTTTGCCTGCTTCAGACATTAATTCTCACATATCATCGGCTGACACGAGAAGACACTCGCTTGAGCATCAATATCAGGCTTTCTTTGTTTACTTTTCGTTCCACGCGCGGCTTCTCACTTAGAAAATCTAATAATAGTAATATAACGTGATATTTCTAAACATACATCACCATCTCTTACAGTTACTTCTGTGAGGTTATTTCTTGCTTCGTTGCGTAACAAAGCGCGAAGGATCTTGCACCGCCTGACTAGACGAACTCGGCAGTCGCCGCCGCCATTTTGTCTATCACGTGACACATCATGCCTAAGCACCTGTTGGATTGGCAATCGTTTCAAAACCGTACCAGCTTGGTGCATTAACGTGTATGTCGATGGACATGTTATACCCTCTATTCACAAATAAAATGATATATTAGAAAATCTGTGTTTCAACGCGGTTGGAATATAACACGTAGTTTCTTATGCATATGCGATATCCCTAAAGTGAATAGTTATGTTTGAGATATCCCCCCATTTAAATGGAACTACTGTTTCCTCAGGAAAAGCCGCAACGCAATTGAATCACATGTACAGAGCTCAAGGAACCATTTCGTGTGTAATATGAAATGACATGAGTAGATCTAGTATTGCATACAGCCCAAGATATGCAATTTTTTAGCTCAACAATGTTTGCTTGCAGTAAACATAAAACGTCACTTCAAAGGAATATTCAGTCTATCCTCAGAATAACATTCCATTGGGTGTTATTCTTGTTTACTTGGCTACATATATAAAAAAAACAACATGAATAGTTATATGATCTTTGCGTAGATGTATAGATTATGTCCACTGTGCCTCGAAACTGCAGCGTACCGATTGTGGCACTGACTACAGCACTGTCATACAAGACCACTATGGTGTCTGTGAAGGTGTGTACAGACTAAAACACTGTCATACAAGACCACTCTGGTGTCTGTGAAGGTGTGTACAGACTAAACACTGTCACACAAGACCACTATGGTATCTGTGAAGGTGTGTACAGACTAAAACACTGTCATACAAGACCACTATGGTGCCTGTGAAGGTGTGTACAGACTAAAACACTGTCATACAAGACCACTCTGGTGTTTGTGAAGGTGTGTACAGACTAAACACTGTCATACAAGACCACTATGGTGTTTGTGAAGGTGTGTACAGACTAAAACACTGTCATACAAGAATACTCTGGTGTTTGTGAAGGTGTGTACAGACTAAAACACTGTCATACAAGACCACTATGGTATCTGTGAAGGTGTGTACAGATTAAAACACTGTCATACAAGACCACTCTGGTGTCTGTGAAGGTGTGTACAGACTAAAACACTGTCAAAGAAGACTACTACGGTGTCTGTGAAGGTGTGTACAGACTAAAACACTGTCATGCAAGACCGCTCTGGTGTCTGTGAAGGTGTGTACAGACTAAACACTGTCAAAGAAGACTACTACGGTGTCTGTGAAGGTGTGTACAGACTAAAACACTGTCATACAAGACCACTCTGGTGTCTGTGAAGGTGTGTACAGACTAAAACACTGTCATACAAGACCACTCTGGTGTTTGTGAAGGTGTAACAGACTAAAACACTGTCATACAAGACCACTCTGGTGTTTGTGAAGGTGTGTACAGACTAAAACACTGTCATACAAGACCACTCTGGTGTTTGTTAAGGTGTGTACAGACTAAAACACTGTCATACAAGACCCCTCCGGTGTTTGTGAAGGTGTTACAGACTAAAACACTGCCATACAAGACCACTCCGGTGTCTGTGAAGGTGTGTACAGACTAAAACACTGTCATACAAGACCACTCCGGTGTCTGTGAAGGTGTGTACAGACTAAAACACTGTCATACAAGACCACTATGGTGTCTGTGAAGGTGTGTACAGACTAAAACACTGTCATACAAGACCACTATGGTGCCTGTAAAGGTGTGTACAGACTAAAACACTGTCATACAAGACCACTCCGGTGTTTGTGAAGGTGTGTACAGACTAAAACACTGTCATACACGATCACTCCGGTGTTTGTGAAGGTCTGTACAGACTAAAACACTGTCATACACGATCACTCTGGTGTTTGTTAAGGTGTGTACAGACTAAAACACTGCCATACAAGACCACTATGGTGTTTGTGAAGGTCTGTACAGACTAAAACACTGTCATACACGACCACTCCGGTGTTTGTGAAGGTGTGTACAGACTAAAACACTGTCATACAAGACCCCTCCGGTGTTTGTGAAGGTCTGTACAGACTAAAACACTGTCATACACGACCACTCCGGTGTTTGTGAAGGTGTGTACAGACTAAAACACTGTCATACAAGACCCCTCCGGTGTTTGTGAAGGTGTGTACAGACTAAAACACTGTCATACACGACCCCTCCGGTGTTTGTGAAGGTGTGTACAGACTAAAACACTGTCATACAAGACCACTATGGTGTCTGTGAAGGTGTGTACAGACTAAAACACTGTCATACAAGACCACTCCGGTGTCTGTGAAGGTGTGTACAGACTAAAAACACTGTCATACAAGACCACTCTGGTGTCTGTGAAGGTGTGTACAGACTAAAACACTGTCATACAAGACCACTGGTGTCTGTGAAGGTGTGTACAGACTAAAACACTGTCATACAAGACCACTCCGGTGTCTGTGAAGGTGTGTACAGACTAAAACACTGTCATACAAGACCACTCCGGTGTCTGTGAAGGTGTGTACAGACTAAAACACTGTCATACAAGACCACTATGGTGTCTGTGAAGGTGTGTACAGACTAAAACACTGTCATACAAGACCACTCCGGTGTTTGTGACGGTGTGTACAGACTAAAACACTGTCATACACAACCACTCCGGTGTTTGTTACGGTGTGTACAGACTAAAACACTGTCATACAAGACCACTCCGGTGTTTGCAAAGCTATGAACGGACAACCGTAAACACAGATTTTCACAAACAACTGGAAAATATCAAAATTTCCAGATGTAACGGAGTCCAATCGTGTGGGTTTTTTCACATTTTACTGATTATTGTCCTCCTTGGCAGTAAAAGAAACAGATTAATCACAAAGCGGCGACAAAAGAGCCCGAGTTTCGAGTGACAGATGGAGCATGCGATATGTACGTAATTAGTCTATAGGAAAGATGCATTACAGTATTGCATAGACTTTTCTAGTGTTTGGTCTAATGAGATAGCTCTTATAACAATGTACCGTTCCTGTTCTTTATTAAACAAGTGACATTTAAACAAATAACGATCTACATCTCTGATGTCATTACTCGCAGGGCACAGCGCTGATTGCCAACGAGCGAAACAGCTCGCATCATTCGCACCTTTCGGTAAGGAATGACCTCGCAAAGAGATGAGTTGTCCCACCTTTGTTTTCATAGCGTTGCACGACTTCCTTCCGCACCTTTGTCTGTAGAGATTGCTTGGCTATGCGTTGTGCAACACTGCTGAGTGAGTGAGTGTGTGAGTTGGAACCGCATTGCAAGATATCAGGCTATAAAAGAGTTTATTATATAGGTAGTATTTTTCCTGTACCACGATTGGTCAAAATACCGTAAAATGATTGACTACAAAACACGATATTGACTTGAGTTTTCTGATAAATTACGATATTGACTTGGGTTACTAAAAATAGACAAGGAATCCCGTAAGAAGGGGCTTCCCCCGCTTTTCAGCCAATCAGATCACTCGGATAGATGGCACAGCGTGTGCATTAAAAGTTTATGTTAAAACCCGTTTCTCTTTCATTATATAATAAAACAATTATAGACTCTTGTAGAGGTCGATATCGGTTTTTATTGACCTGAGTAAAACAATATCGACCGAGCTTGCGAGCTAGCGACCTCTACAAGAGTCTATAATTGTATAGTAACATACACTGTTGTATTTGGGATTACACTTTCTCAGTAAAGTACAGATTCTAGTACTTTTGGGGGGTTGAGTCCCATCCGGGATATAAAAGAGTGAACTAACTATACTGGCACATCTGAAATCATTGGAATGAATATGTAATTACAGGCCATTTACGGTTCGGGAGAACTGAATTAAGTATTCCTATCACGGAATATATACTGGGAAGCAGATGCTGTACTGTACGAGGGTGGAGGGTGAGATACACACGTCTGACTTGTCCATCTGTATGGGGGTGGAGGGTGAGATACACATGTCTGACTTGTCCATCTGTACGAGGGTGGAGGGTGAGATACACACGTCTGACTTGTCCATCTGTACGGGGGTGGAGTGTGAGATACACATGTCTGACTTGTCCATCTGTACGGGGGTGGAGGGTGAGATGCACATGTCTGACTTGTCCATCTGTACGGGGGTGGAGGGTGAGATACACATGTCTGACTTGTCCATCTGTACGGGGGTGGAGGGTGAGATACACACGTCAGACTTGTCCATCTGTACGAGGGTGGAGGGTGAGATACACGTCTGGCTTGTCCATCTGTACGGGGTGGAGGGTGAGATACACATGTCTGACTCTGACTTGTCCATCTGTACGGGGTGGAGGTTGAGATACACACATCTGTCATGGGTGGAAGGTGGAAGGATCTGACTTGTCCATCTGTACGGGGGTGGAGAGTGAGATACACACGTCTGACTTGTCCATCTGTACGGGGTGGAAGGGTGAGATACACACGTCTGACTTGTCCATCTGTACGAGGGTGGAGGTGAGAAGGGTCAGATACACACGTCTGGCTTGTCCATCTGTACGGGGGTGGAGGGTGAGATACACACGTCTGACTTGTCCATCTGTACGGGGGTGAAAGGTGAGATACACACGTCTGACTTGTCCATCTGTACGGGGGTGGAGAGTGAGATACACACGTCTGACTTGTCCATCTGTACGGGGGTGGAAGGGTGAGATACACACGTCTGACTTGTCCATCTGTACGAGGGTGGAAGGGTCAGATACACACGTCTGACTTGTCCATCTGTACGGGGCCGGAGGGTGAGATACACATGTCTGACTTGTCCATCTGTACGGGGGTGGAGAGTGAGATACACACGTCTGACTTGTCCATCTGTATGGGGATGGAGGGTGAGTCTCAAGTAAGCCATCATATAGCACTAACACCGAGGATCTTGTCGTCTGTACAGAGTTGTGTCCCTTAGATGCGCCAGAAAACGGGGTTACTGTCTGAGGCACCCATCAATTCGGGCTTTCCACCCACAGTATTTGACACGTGGTGATATATTGGAATACTGCACAAAGCGGCGTTAAACTCACTCAGTAACACACTAAACAAACCTTTAAACCAGTGTTATAGTGTAGAATTAACTTCCATAGCACAAAGAGACTAGCATATCGACATTTACATGTTAATGATAAACGCGTAAAGTCAAACAATGTGAAGTCGTTAAACTTATTGACCACACTAAAAACGAAAGTGTACACGTTGTATCGTGAAACGTTATATGTGCATGCACAAAAAGCAGTTTACACTTTACTTCATGCAGTGGCGGCGGGGTAACCTGGTGGATGAACGGTCGCTCGTCACGCCCACTGCCATGGTTCCCCACCTTGTATCAATTTGTGAAGCCCATTCCTGGTGTCCCCCGCCGTGATAATGATGGTATATTGATAAAAACGACGTTAGAATCAACTTACTCACTCACACACTCACACCGCATACAACAGGGCTTACTTATGTTTAGTTAGACTAACGCTTAGTCGCTGAAAATATATAATGTCGATAGAAACAAAGAACTTCATTTAAAATTAAAAGGAGCCCGAACCTGAGTAAAACTTAGACTTCTGCTTCTGCACCGGGGTTTCGAGTGCGGCTTCTTTCGGGCCAGTGTCGGTGGGTAGCCACCCGTGAAGGTCCGGGTTAGATTGAACCTTTAGTAACCCATGCTTGTCGTAAGAAGCGACTAACGGGATCGGGTGGTCAGGCTCGTTGGCTTGGTTGACACATGCCATCGATTCCCACTTGCCCAGGTCGATGCTCATGCTGTTGATCACTGGATTGTCTGGTCCAGACTCGATTATTTGCAGACCGCCGCCATATAGCTGGAATATTGCTGAGTGCGGCGTAAAACTAAACTCACTCACTCACCGTGTACAAGTGTCTGCGCATGTACATATCTAGTGCCACTACATCTCCAGTTGTATCAATAAGTAAATGACTCTGATATGTGTTAGATTTGGGTGACATCATTTCCAGCATCAATCTTTTGGTGAAAAACAACTGCATAAAATAAATTAAAACATTTTGATAAAAGATCAGAAGCTCTAACAACGCTCACACCGAGTTGCGTGTACAGCAACGTGCCTTAAAACGTGGACAAAGGACTGTGATTTAGTGGTGTGACGATTCATCGATACGCATCGATCATCGATCATCGGTCATCGACCCGTGGGCAGCCGATACAGTGAATCGATGCAGGGTTTTACATTGTCGCATATGCCGATACGATACTTCAAATGGGCCACGATACATCGATGTTTTACTTTGAATATTGCCGAATCGCGATATCTGTCAATACAAAAGACGTACTTTTGTTTGATGATTAAAATATATGCATACTTATTTTCCTTTTCTAAGTAAACGTTTTCTTGCGTCAAGAACTGGGTCAGACATAGTGCTCGCATGATATTAACATTCACAATGTTCGTTTATGAACTTAATTACCTCGTTTTCGAATGAACCTTGAACAACGCTGGTGGAATTTGACGAAATACTTTAAAACACTTGCTGCTGTTAATGATCCCTTATATTTACTTGAAAATGCCAAACAAAAACTGTAAACGAGCTATGTTTATAATAGATTGAACACCTAAACGCACTGAAATTTAAACCGAAAGTGAATGAAGCACTGCCCACAACGCCAGTCAAAATGGCGACTGTACATAACGTTTTGTTCGTGGAAGCTCCGGATGTTTTTCAAAGCTACAGTTTGAAAGACATTTAGATTTCTGGCAACTAAAAGCCCAGAAGTTCTATGTTGTCTATTTATAACAGTATAATGTTTTATTTATTTTGTAGTTGTTTTTAAAATTGCTAATGTGACTGAAAGTTATGACATCACATCATATAAGTTTGGCGTGGTTTACCTCACTCTCCAAAAAGAACATTGTACTTATAAATGAGGAGAAGCTCTTGAATACCTCGGTACAAATAGAACCACGTACAATCCTTTTGATACAATAAAAGTAAATACAGTGGAAACCTCATAAGTAAAATTTCAAGGGACTCGCCAAAATTGTTTACTTATCAGGTATTTTACTTATCCAAACTTATAAAAACCGGCAAATGACAACCATATGCATGTATATGTATGCATATGTAACAATGAACAACTTATCAGGGCTGGCCTCCAGTTGTCAGTGTATTGTCAACTGCTTGATGCCAGCGAGCTGTAAGTAGGATGTTTGTTTGACTAGAGACTGACACGACTGCCCCTCATGTCGGATTATGTGGTGATCACTAATTTAGTTATCCAGTATCTTTTGTTAAGTAATTTACTTCCAGGGACCGTGAGAAGACATTTAGTTAAGCGGTATTGTTTACTTATCCGAGTTTAGTTAACCGGACTCTAATAGTGATAATTAATGAAGAAATTTGCCAGGACCAAAGAAAAGTGTTTACTTATCCGGTATGTTTAGTTAAGCGTCTTTACTTAGGAGGTTTCCACTGTACAGTTAGTTCATGCGCTATACCTTTAGCTAGTCTAGCTTTTTGAAGCTTGATCGATTCTGCATTTATTTTCCGGAAATATGGCAGCGACACTGAAATTTCCATTTCGCAGTAGTGCTGGTATAGGCATACAACCTGCGATACGATATATCACATTTTGATCTTAAGGTATTTTATAGTTGGTGTTAGAATTAAAGGTTTTAGTATCATGATACGTATCGTATCGCCACCCGTATGTCGGGATTCGTATCGTATCACAGTTTCAGTTCACAATACTTTGGCAATATATCGTCCTGACTGAAATTTTAGTATCGCGATGTATCGTATCGCAGGTTGTATGCCAATACCAGCACTACAGTGTGACTATGTGTCCCAGTCCACCCAGCTGTGAATGGGTACCTCGTAAGGATGGGAAAGTCACATTAACTTGGTGCACATAGAGGCTGCAGGAGTTGTGTGCTCCCTAGGGAGTAGATATTGAAAATACGATGTGCCGTTGAGATTGACATCCAATGAAAACAAAGCTCTTTGAGCATGCATGTAGCTGGGATGGACTATAGCGCTATATAAATACCCATATTATATATAATAATAATCATCGTAAATTGCTACAACACACGCGTTCATGTCAAGAAATTAACACATGAATAAGCACTTAGATCATAAACAGTTAACAACGATACGTCTTTGGACTTTAACATTTAAATATTGACTTGTGAAAACCAGTAAACGAAAGTACCAACATCTCCCCTTCCTGTACCAATTCTCTTTAGCTGAGTGAGTGAATGAGTAGGTGAGTGAGTGAGTAAGTTTGTTGAATATATCCCCTTAGTAGAACTTTTCAGCTAAGTCATGTGTGTAAGCATGACGTTGCAGGAGATGTACATGGTGGGTGTATTGACACTTATTTCGACATTAGAGGCGGTGGGGTAGCCTAGTGGTTAAGCGTTCGCTCGTAACACCGAAGACCTGGGTGCAATGTATTAAGCCCATTTCTGGTGTGCCCCGCCGTGATATTGCTGGAATATTGCTAAAAGCGGCGTAAAAATACTCACTCACTGTAGTGACATGAAAGGCCTCAATTCAAGCCTGCGTGACTCAGACACGCACATCTGTACACTAAATTGCATGTACCTATTTCGGGATACAAAACCCAGATCGAGAAAAGGAAATGAAATGTAACAAAGGCTATATAACCCAAATATTTTAAAACGGCTTTAGACCCACCCCCACCCCGACTCACATACACACGTATTATCATCTAGGACACGTTTCTTTGAGAGGCATTTTAGAAGTTGTGAAGATGAAGGAAAACCAAGTTCAACGGATAGTCAACTTCTTTATTGCAATGAATGCGACGTTTCGGTGTAGGTACCTACATTGCAGTAAAGAAGTTGAGTATCCATAGAACTTGGTTTCCCTTCATAGTGGCACGTCGGGCTCTTCTTGTTTGTATACAGTTCAACATTTTTTCCGATGAAATGAATAAATACTGAAAGAGATCTAGCTCCCTCTTTAAAAGCTGCTCTGTAAACTGGAACCTCAAGAGTGTGAAATGCTACGGCTCCGGTCGACTTCCAAGATAGCTTTAATCATGGCTTAAATATGGCCGCAGCGATTTTATGTTTTGACCTCGCTCAGAATGTTGCTAAGAAGATATATTAGAAAAATATCACATACGTATTAAAGGAACGAGGAAAAAATAGACAATCTGTCCTGAATAAGACATTTTTTGTCTCAATGACTGTTCCACCCAGCCTCCGGATCCTTTGTGATCTTTTTCTTCTTAAAACCGCTTTACAAACACAAGACGTCATGAAATTTTAGCTCATCGGGAAATGATAGAACTGGTGAGATCCTTTGACACCCTAATTACAAGCTGTCGCTAAAAGTGTCCTCATTTGGGAAAAATGAGGATTTTCCTTTCAAACAAATAAGAATATGCCTTGGTTTCAGTTTTTCAAGTTTTCGATTAAAATTAATGATATTTTTACATCCAGTAAAACAATATTACCGAAAACAAGGTAACTGATGATACTGTCGCCCTTAAAGGTGTGAAAATGATTTAATCTGACTTGATACGACTCACACAAGGAAACTAAACTGCATTATCTCATCCGCAATGCAAAATAACGTTGAAGAGTTCAGTATGGACGTATAGATGTATGATTATTTCGGCATGATAAAAATCCTTTAATTGATCGACTCGGCAATAAGTTCCCCGTCTCGTAACAAACCGAACACACGTCAACAAAATTTTAAAAGGGAAAATAAAATAAGCAAGTATGATAATATTTAATTTAAAACCAAACGCCGAGCACTAACCAGAGCAACACATGCATGCTCGGAAAAGTAAGTTGATTCTGCCCATGAAATCCAAACTGAACGGCAGTTGTCTGGAGGTACTGTCTGCGCTATCGATCACGTGTGGCGGCCGAATGATTAATTGTCGCGGGTGACACCGACACATAATTCCTTCTTGGCCGCCAGGTACTCTATGGGCAGTTGTTGAAATCAATAATTAGAAAACATTTCAAGTTCATGTTACACAAGTATATTATGGGCGCTTCGCTAAATATGACATGGCGTACCACATATTGAAGGTCGAAGCTCTCTCACAGTCTGTCGGTTATGCCTCGTTAACAACAACATATAAGTAACTGAACAGAAGCATATTTAGTACTTGTGTTCAAGATACAAATGAAATAAGGTTATCAATGTGGAAGGCAAGGATTGGAATTTGCTGTATATCCCGGTTATGCGTCAGGTCGCTTTTAAAATCTTTGCCAATTTTATCTTTATTTTCTGTAACTCTAAACTGATGCTAGGTCTTTGCGAGTCAAACATAACGTCTACACGGGGATATTATTCTATTTGAAACTAATAATTAGCAAAAATATAGCTTTAAGTTGTACGCCTTAAATCTTCCATTTAATCAGCGCTTCAATCAGTATGAGGAATGGTCATGTCTCAAAGCAGGCGGGATCGTTTAATACACGTTTGAAAGTTCAGAATGGGCAAAGAGGAATCCGTGTATGTATACGTGAGTAAAGGCTCGGAGGGCACTTATTCATACAGGTACTTACTTACTTTACAGAAAACATCAGATCCATGAACATTGTTGCTAGGTCTGGACATATTGCCTTTACGCCGAAAAGGAAGATTTTATCCTCACTCTCCCTGATTCGCCTATATAAACAGGTGCTTGCGATCGAATTTATCAAATACTGTTTCTTAAGCTTTCAGTAAGTATTGACTGTATTTGATACTATACTGTCTATCTTCAGTCACATGGCATCACGGGCATGAGCATAAAAACATACGCTGAGACCAGTACGTTTCTGTCTACTTTCTGCCTCTTCGGAGACATACATATTTCTGATCGGGGTCCAGGTACCAGACGTAATCGTTTAACAGGAAGAATATCTCATATCAGGGAGAATAGAAGACTGTAGATTATCCCTGCTCATATATACAAAACATAAGGCATACACCCCGAGCATGACCGTTATCAAAAAGTAACGAATTTATATATTTCACAGAAATTAATTAAACCTTAATTTTTAAATTCAAAGATACATCTTGATATAACTCCCTATGTATAACATATATTTTGATTATTTCTGATTTCATTTGTATGATAGCAGTGATAAATACACTTTACATTATGTTGGTTTTTAAAAAATAATTATTCCGTCTATCGAAGAATTTGTGATTAATTTGTCACTGAAGATTTATTTTTTATAGTCTCGGAACAACGTAATACAATAGCATTGATTACATGCCGTGGTGAATGCCTCTCTCCCATTTAAGTACGTATTTTTTGTTCACATTATGTGTATATCAACATAACGGAAATAAATATAATGATTAATGCAAACCGGTCATAATATTCCCCAAGGTGGAAAAAGTATACTTTTCGATTGTCCTCGATACTTTTAATCATCCTCGCTAATTAAGTAATTGGATACAAAATGGTGATCTGATATTTCACGCCCGTGTTTGCGTTATAGTCTTCATTCCGTTTGTCACTGCAAGCTCCTAAGTAATGCCATTTTGTCTTCCCAAAATATGGCAATGTCAACAAAGTAAGCTCCGCCCACTTGTGGTTGTTTACTTATATCTAATCACATGTTTCTTCCTGTCTTTTTGCGCATGCTGATTGTCGGCTCCTTTGATCAATACTTCCCATAATCCCACTACGAGCAACGGTCGAGGAACGGCGGGTAAGTGAAAAAAATATTATTTCTTTCCATAGCGGTAACAGCGGACCAAAAACACGTGCTTCAACTTCCAAACAAATGGGTAAAATGACAACTTTGTTTCATTTTGTTCACGGCTGTCGCGAGTGCATATTTGTTGCAATAACTACACAACATACCACGCGCGTTTTTTGGACGTATAAGGTTGTGTAAAAATCTATTTTTAGATTCATAATGGATGCTGGACACTCACTGACCACTGAGTGACCGCTAGGCAGGCTTAGACCTCTGCTGAGAGAACTCCAGCCGCTGGAACCAGTTGTCATTCCTGGCAATATTATGTTCCGCTTAATTAGTGTGACGCTCCGTATTGAGAAGTCATCTTCACCAGACGATTTCGCGCACCATACTTTTGTAGCAGACGACAATTTTAATTCCCCTTTCCTTTTCTGATATGTTTTTGGAATCTTGACCCAAATCAACAATGGTCGCTGGACTAACATTCTCGGACATAGAAATATTGATTTGCCCCAGGGCATTTACACATAAAACCTCTCGGATGCTGGGTTCAGTAATCTCACCAACTTGCAAAACTATATCCCCTTGGTCTCACCCTTTCATTTCTCCTTTAAGAAGATTTGACAACTCTTTCACTAAGTTGTAAAGAGAAAATAGGTACTCCTCTAGAAAGTCACAAAGATCAGAGGATGAAATGATTAAATTTTATCATATGATTTTATGGTCTCTGCCAAGATGTAGAGTCTGATATGCCTCAGAACTGTGGGAACTTATGTATGAATGCACTTGACAAAACAATAGATATCACAGGAAATATAGCATAAGTGTTTTTGTATAATGAATGTTGTTAAAACATACTTAAGCTGCATTTTCAGGGAAACTGATGAATTTTCTGTATTCTACACATCAGACAAATGTTTCCTTTAAGGAAGATTTTATGACTTAAGCTTGATGTGTATCCTTGTATATATATATATATTGGTGTACTCCCTTTTTACACTTAGGCCGAGTATCCTTGTATATATATATATATGTGTACAGACATTCATGTACACATTCTTTAGCTGGACATTTATGCTTTTAGTATTTTGACCACTGCCTATAAGTATTGAGGTTTGTTCTAAGGGTTTGTATCTTGCCTTCATGGAGTGAGATACTTCAAACTGGGACTGAACGGAAACCTGTGGTAGAAGATTTCTGAATGTGTTCTTAACCACTTAAAGTGAATTTAGTTTCAGTTGCTCTTGAAGTGGTATGAAGTTTAGTTAACCCCAAAAATATTTCCTGTCCATTTCGAGGAAAGAACTGGAAAACATGATGATAGATTATCTGGTAATCAGATAAACCAGTAATAGGATGAAAATGCCAGATGAACCAGTTGTGTGATGAACCATTAGTCAGGTGATTCATTAAGGGGATGAACCAGTAGTCAGATGATCCAGTAGTCAGATGAACCAGTTGTCAGATGATCCAGTAGTCAGATGAACCAGTTGTCAGATGATCCAGTAGTCAGATGAACAAGAAGTCAGATGATCCAGTAGTCAGATGAACCAGTTGTCAGATGATCCAGTAGTCAGATGAACAAGTAGTCATATGATCCAGTAGTCAGATGAACCAGTAGTCAGATGAACCAGTAGTCAGATGATCCAGTAGTCAGATGAACCAGTAGTCAGATGAACCAGTTGTCAGATGATCCAGTAGTCAGATGAACCAGTAGTCAGATGAACCAGTAGTCAGATGATCCAGTAGTCAGATGAACCAGTAGTCAGATGAACCAGTTGTCAGATGATCCAGTAGTCAGATGAACCAGTTGTCAGATGAACCTGTTGTCAGATGAACAAGTAGTCAGATGAACAAGTAGTCAGATGATCCAGTAGTCATATGATCCAGTAGTCAGATGATCCAGTAGTCAGATGAACCAGTAGTCAGATGAACAAGTTGTCAGGTGAACAAGTTGTCAGATAATCCCATAGATGACCTGGAGGTCAGATGGACCACTAGTCAAGATAAACAAGTTGTCAGATGAACAAGTTGTCAGATAATCCCATAGATGATCCAGTAGTCAGATGAACCAGTAGTCAGATGAACAAGTTGTCAGGTGAACAAGTTGTCAGATAATCCCATTGATGACCTGGAGGTCAGATGGACCACTAGTCAAGATGAACAAGTGGTCAGGTCAGATGAACTGGAGGTCAGATGGACCACTAGTCAAGATAAACAAGAAGTCAGGTGAACAAGTTGTCAAATAATCCCATAGATGACCTGGAAGTCAGATGGACCACTAGTCAAGATAAACAAGTTGTCAGATAATCCCATAGATGACCTGGAGGTCAGATGGACCACTAGTCAAGAAGAACAAGTTGTCAGATGAACAAGTTGTCAGATAATCCCATAGATGATCCAGTAGTCAGATGAACCAGTAGTCAGAAGAACAAGTTGTCAGATGAACAAGTTGTCAGATAATCCCATAGATGACCTGGAGGTCAGATGGACCACTAGTCAAGATAAACAAGTTGTCAGATGAACAAGTTGTCAGATAATCCCATAGATGACCTGGAGGTCAGATGGACCACTAGTCAAGATGAACAAATAGTCAGGTCAGATGAACTGGAGGTCAGATGGACCACTAGTCAAGATAAACAAGAAGTCAGGTGAACAAGTTGTCAGATAATCCCATAGATGACCTGGAGCCCAGATGGACCACTAGTCAAGATAAACAAGTTGTCAGATGAACAAGTTGTCAGATAATCCCATAGATGACCTGGAGGTCAGATGGACCACTAGTCAAGATAAACAAGTTGTCAGATGAACAAGTTGTCAGATAATCCCATAGATGACCTGGAGGTCAGATGGACCACTAGTCAAGATGAACAAGTAGTCAGGTCAGATGGACCACTAGTCAAGATGAACAAGAAGTCAGGTGAACAAGTTGTCAGATGAATAAGTTGTCAGATGGATCTCTAGTCAAGATGAACAAGAAGTCAGATGAACAAGTTGTCAGATGAATAAGTTGTCCGATAATCCAAGAGATCACTTGGAGGTCAGATGGACCACAAGTCAAAATGAACCAGTAGTCAGATGAACAAGTTGTCAGATAATCCAAGAGATGACCTGGAGGTCAGATGGACCACAAGTCAAGATGAACAAGAAGTCAGATGAACAAGTTGTCCGATGACCCCTTTGATGAACTGGAGGTCAGATGGACCACAAGTCAAGATGAACAAGTTGTCAGGTAATCCATTAGATAAACTGGAGGTCAGATGGACCACAAGTCAAGATGAACAAGAAGTGAGATGAACAAGTTGTCAGGTAATCCATTAGATAAACTGGAGGTCAGATGGACCACAAGTCAAGATGAACAAGAAGTGAGATGAACAAGTTGTCCGATGACCCCTTTGATGAACTGGAGGTCAGATGGACCACAAGTCAAGATGAACAAGAAGTCAGATGAACAAGTTGTCAGATAATCCATTAGATAAACGGGAGGTCAGATGGACCACTAGTCAAGATGAACAAGAAGTCAGATGAACAAGTTGTCAGATAATTTCTCTGATGAACTGGAAGTCAGATACACAAGTCGTTAGATGAAAGAGAAATCAGATCAACACGTCACATAATCTCTTGGATGAACTGGGTGTCAAGATGAACAAGAAGTCAGGTGAATGGTAAAACAAACAGCCTTGTATGGGTTTTTGTGATATTGGAGCTTGAAACAAACATTGGGACATTAATATTCCACCATCCCTTTGAAATTTCTCTTCCCACAGCAAGCAGCTGACATGAGGTAGTTGTACATTTTGTCAGTCAGTGTTCATAATGTTGAAAGTTTATCCCTTCAAAATGTTTCACAAAGTCACAAAATGGCTAGCAAAAAAGAAGAAATGTTTTTTAAACTTGATTCGATTGTTTCAGAATATAATGTTAGAAATATATAGAGAAAGTTGGTTAAGAAAAATTATTTACCTGGTAACGATAATTTGTCAGAAGACCTCATTTTTCTCACTTCCATTCTCTACAAACAATAATTATGAAAACTGGATAAAACAGTGTTCATGTTGGCAATCCCAGATTAATATGTTTTTTCCATATTTTTATTCCCAGAATTATGTTTACAGACTTTACCTTAGTAGTACAGTATAGGTAGCTTCATAGTACACAAGTACAGTGTTTCCTTGATCACATTGTCAAATATCATGCTGTTCACAGATATGTAAAATGGTCAAACTAAGTGTGTATATGAAGTGTTACATGTTGTAAAAGTCTGTTGATAAAAGTTGCAAAGCCAGATTATGATATGATAAACCACATTATGCATCAGAACAGGCCTGTAACAATGACATAATAGACTGACTGAAAGACAAATCATATAGTTCATCAACTGTAAGAAGTGTGACAACTGCATTATTGTTTTTAATGGTTCAGCAACAGTAAGAATTATTTGAAACTCCATTCTGTTTGTCAAATATTGTATCCAAAGTAAGAACTATTTAAAACTGCATTTGTTTTGTCAAATAGTTCAGCAACAGTCAGAATTATGAACACATTCTTATGTTATATTGTTCATCAACAGTAAGAGCTGTGAACAGTTTCCTGCTTGTCCTTTTGTTCAATAGAGAACATGGTAAGGGGTTGGGCCATTGATTCATTTTCTTTTTTGAGGAAAATTTCATCGGCAGTAGGAACTGTGAACGCTGCATTCTTTTTATTGAACACTTCACCAACAGTAGGAACTGTGAACGCTGCATTCTTTTTATTGAACACTTCACCAACAGTAACAAGTTTTCATTTCCCTTTGTCAACTGCATGGAAACTTCAAATCTGTTTTGACCATTTATGGATAAGTCCTATCGGTGGAGGTGCATAATATCCATAGGATAGCAAAGAACTACATATGGCGTCATGTTTTTTAGTCCGAAACCTTTGGAACTTCAGAAGGACTAGTAGTTTGATGCTCATGATGTTGATCACTTGATTGTCTGGTGCAGGCTTGATTATTTACAATATTG